AAAGAAGTCAGCAGTCTGCAACCAAGGAGAGGGCTCTCACCAGAACCCCGCCAGGCTGGCACCCTGATTGCAGACTTCTAGCCTCCAGAGCTGTGGGAAGTAAGCCACCCAGTTTATGGTGTTTTGTTAGAGACCCAAACTAACACAGACACATGCTTTGAAATCTTCTTGATTTTCGTAAGATGAGGTATGTATCATGACCTTTATTGACAACAGATACTTGGCTATGTCTCCAGTATTGATTTAATAAAAGGTGAAGATTTTAAATGTTCTTGCTGCAGAAGATGAAGAATTGGAAAGTATGAGAAACTTTGCATTATTTTCTTGAGAATAACACATTGTAAAGTGATCTGAATCTTTTTGGTTTCCCAGAATTTTAACTGGCTGGGTTTATTGCACACACACACCTCCCCCTTACCTTGGCAATATCTCATGAGCTATTGATAAATTATTAAACTGTGATGCAAACCCAAGTGCCAGGATTGACCATAAAATGGTGTATTCATCAGGGGCTAGGCAAGAGGCAGAAAACACAACAGTTAGTATAACAGAGAGAATTTAAGATAAAGTGTTATTGACTAGGTAGAAAGAATCTTTACTTGAAAAAGTGAAAGAACTCTGGATGTAGCACCTACCATCCCCTAGCACTGAGGAAACAAAGAGGTTGAAATATTTAAAACTTGGAAACTGAGAGGCAGAGCCCTGGAGAGCTAAAAGCCAGGTCTCTGAGGAAGGGTGCTGTTCAGAAGGTGTCTTGAAAAATGTACCTGGGATTGTTTTAATCAGGTGTGGGAAAACATGCAAACATAGAAAAGTTCATGATGGAAGAAGTTTATACTCACAAATCTTTAAAAATAGCAGGCACTACATTCCAGGCGGGACCCCACGTGGAAGCACCAGGGTAGGTTAGGTGGCAGAAGGAGGAGGGGGAAGTGTGGTCTCTTTAGGAAAGGTAAGGTAGGGTATGTTAAATGGTTTAGAATTGGCTGGTTTGAATAATTTATGCAGGCTCTGGACCATACGGGTGATCCCTGCTTATGCAGTACCTGACTCTGGAGTGACTTAGGGCAATAGGAATATTGGCTCCGTGTATGAGAGTTTGATAAAGAAGGTGGTTGTGGGCATGGGCTCTCAACTGGTTGGCTTGCATAGAAAGGCATGCTCATGGGCAAGTTGTTAACTACCCCTGGGAGGCGCAGTCGCTTCTGAGCCTGCAAGGCCCCCAAGATGTCCAAGCATCACAATGTATAGAAACTAAAAAATATGGCTAGTACATTCAGGCTGGTGTTTCTCAGTTTTAAGGTCTTTCAGCTGTTTTCCTGAGTCTTTCTTCCATAAATTAAACCTCTTCCCTCTTACAGTATCAAAGCGGGTAGCTAACATCTAACTTTCAAAGGGGAGGGAGTTTCTTGCCCTAATTATTGAACTTAAGAGCAATCCAAAGATTCCGCACTGTAAGTGATTGCCTGGATAATCCAGATAGCCTAGAAGAATATGCACATCCATCCCTTCACCTCACTTGAAGACATTCTCCTCTAGGTTCTAGGCTCATTAGGAAACATAAAATATTTTCTTATAGCAGACATGTTAAATTGAGTTTTAAATTGGAGAGAAAAGTAGAGTCCTGTGATGAACATTATAGTTACTTTTGCTGTCTTCTGTGTCCCTTATTATATGCCCCTCTTCCCATTGCCAGAACTCAGGTCTCAGAATGAAGGTTCATCCACAATTGCCAGCTGAGTTTGTGAAACAATATTTTTAATTGGTAAGAGACTTATTCCTCCAAAATTTAATCTTTTATGATATGAGCTGAGTAGAAAACAGCCTAAGACAAAGCATTCATGCAAATGTTTTATTGGGGAATGCAATTCCAGGACAGCAAGAATGCGGGAGGAAGGAGCGTGAGGAAGAGAGAGGGTGCAACCTTATTGTACTGGCCACAGCTTTAAAAGAAGACACAGCTGGCACTTGCGTCACCCAGGATGTCTCCAGATAGGCTGTTAGGAACCACTGTACCTTAAAGCAGTTCATTGCAGGGAAGAAAGAAAATGGAACGGATTCATCCATTGGTTTTTTCCTGCCTTATGACTCTCAGCTGTCAAAGTTTGCCCCATTTTTGTTGTGTCACTTGACTCCTTCTGGCAGTTGATGGGGAATTGCATATGCCATGCTGCACTGAGCCTCCGTGGGTCTGTAAGATTGGACTTGGCATTGGAGCTGCCATGCTGGGCATGATGGAAGCCATGGCAGCCTCTGGCCATTCTTCTTGGAAGAGGAGAACTTCAACAGTGTTACTTCTGCAATGGTGGCAGCAGCCAGAGCTCTCCACTGAGCAAGTTGCAAGTGGTGACCAGCTAATGTGAGGATCTGATATAGAGAGTAACGGGTAAGGAGTGAATAAATCAGAGACTGGGAATATTTGTAAACACAAATGAAAGTAATTGGAGAAATAGAAAGTTCCAGAAGGATATATCTGGAATATGGGTCTATAGAGCACGGGAGACAGAGACCTCTTTCAACACAAGGAACCAAGAGTGTTGGCTGGAGGGCAGCCCTGCCCCAGGAGGCCGGCGACCTGGTCTCAGCTCCCTGGTTTTTGCTAGCTGTGGCAGTCTCACATTAGTCTCTTCATCTTGAGCCTCTGTTATTTTATTTAAGAAATGAGAGAGAGTCAAAGCTGATCTTTTAAATTCTAAAGATAGATGTTTTAGAGAGACAATTTTGTAGAAATTTACATGTACACTCCTTGCAAATTTCACTGTGTAAAAAGTGAGGAATTACTGTCAAGAGCACCATCAGACAGAAACTTATTTTTTAACTTAAAATATGCACTAAAGGGTCTGACAATGAGCTACTGCCCTGGGAAGTCAGCCGATCTGAATCTAGGGCTGACCCTTTCAGCAGTCAGCCATACGATCGCATGTAAATCATCTGACACCTATCTCTGGGCTTCATCAGAGCACAGGCTCTGATCTCCAGTCACCTTTTCTAGAATCCTGGTGTTAACACTGACCAGCTGTGTGACCTCAGGTACATCACTTAACCTCCTTGCTCCTTATCTGCCTAGTGGGACTGCTGTGAGCTAATGTGCATGAAATGTCTGACATAGTGTACACTTGAATGTTCAGTAGTATTTTCTTTTTAAAAATTATTTTATTGTTTTTATTGTATTTTTTCCATCACCATTTAGTCCCCTTATCCACCCTTCCCCACTCCCACAAATACCACACTGTTGTCCATACCCATGAGTTCTTTTTCCCTTTTGCTCAAACCCTCTATCCCCTAACCTTCCCTGACTAGCTGATATCCTGTTCTTCATCTATGAGTCTGTCCCCATTTTCTGTGTTAGTCCAGTTTGTTCATTAGATTCCACATATGAGTGAAATCATATGGTTTTTGTCTTTCTCTGGTTTATTTCACTTAGCATAATGTTCTCCAGGTCCATTCATACTACCACAAAGGGTAAAATTTTCTTTCTTTTTTTACTGCCTAGCAGAATTCCATTGTGTAAGTGTCCCATAGTTGTTTTATCCACTCATCTACTGATGGACACTTGGGCTGTTTCTGTATCTTGGTGATTATAAATAATGCTGCAGTGAACATAGGAGTGCTTGTTCTTTTGAATTAGTGTTTTAGGTTAATGTTCCATGATTCCCTACTGTGATTCATTACTTCATTATTACAAATGCACAATGAGCATTTATTACATGTGTAGTCCTGTGCTACCTTGTCCTCAGGAAGCACATGAACTGGGTAAGATGGTCATATAAGATTAGAAACCATACACAGTAATCTACACTATTGTGATAAAGGGTGATATCTTAAAAGAGTAATAAATCTTATGTAGAGTTCTAAGACTGATGATTTATCAAGCGCATTATTCTGGGAAAAGGCACTTTTTCAGTGTTGGAGGATATACTTATGACAGGTCCTTACCGTTCTTTAAAAAATTATTTAGTAGCTGCCCATTAGCATATGTTCAACTGACAACTAATGGAGCATTGTTGGAAGCGGCGCCCAGATGGGGTTTTATTTTGAAGTCTGGAGCGTGGTAAATTATATATCATTGCTTAGTCCAGCTGCTCTTTATAATGATATCATATTTCTAATGGAAAAGTTAACATTAAAATTAATACTAAACTTGTGACTTGCACTGAATTGAAATGAAAACGTTTAAGTGGAAATGCTGTTTGTTGCCATAAAGGTTACCGTGGTTGTTTTTAGACTCTGCGAGATACCCCACATGAGAATTAAAGGGTGTTGTCTTGTCCATCAACAGCCAAGACTCTCCAACCATGAAGGGAGCGATATTAAGGGCAGGACTCAAAAATCCTGTTTCATTTGAATTATACAGATAGAGAAGAAAAGGAAATTGCTTCAAAACTGTGTTTGGATTATAAAAAAAAGCTTGTTTTAAACAAATAATGCTGGGCAAAATGGAAAAATCTGTAGTATTATTAGACATTTAATAAAACATGAAGAAAAGCAATTTAAGAAGGCTTAAGGCAGGACTCCCAGAAGTTTATTTTAGGATATTCGGGAAGATGCCACTGGCGGGTGCAATGTGCTGATGCTGACCGAGCTTTGATTTAGCACATGTTGGTTCGACTCCTTAACCTGCCACTTCCTGTTTTGGGCTATCTTGGCCAAGGGCCCTACCCTCTCCGTGATTTGGTTATCTATGAAATTGAGGGACTTAAAATTATTGTGAATTTATTGATTATTTGTTCATAGTATTACGAAAATTTTACAGACACATAATTTTAAGAGCTTTACAAAGCTTGTTTTAAAATAGCTTTCCTCTCCCCACCATGCTTTCATTTTCAGAAGAAAATACTTTCAGATCTTAGAGGGGTTTTTTTGTATTTGCTTCTGTGTCTCTAAGTTATATGCTTAAATTGACAGCTTTGAAAATTGGGGTAAAATATATATAAAAGAAAGTTTGCCACCTAAACCATTTTCAGTGCACAGTTACGGCAATTGGAATTAAGTATATGCACATGGCCGTGCAGGCCTCACCACTATCTGCCTCTGGGACTTTGTCATCACCGCGAACTGGAGCTCTCTACCCTCCAAACAGTAGCTCCCCATTATCTCCTACCTCCATCCAGGCCTTGGTGACTTCTACTCTGCTTTCTGTCTCTGTGAATTTGACTACTCTCGGCACTTCCTACAAGTGGGATCATATGGTATGTGTCCTTTTGTGACCGGCTTATTTTGCTTAGCATCATGTCCTCAAAGTTCATTCATGTTGCGATGTGTGTCAGAACTTCCTTTTTTAAAGGCCAGATAATATTCCACTGTATATATATACAACATTTTGTTTGTTCCTGCATCTATCAATAAACATTTGGGCTGTTTCTACCTTTTGGCTATTGTAAATAAAGCTTCTATTAATACGGATATAAAAATATCTGTTTGAATCCCTGCTTTCAGTTCTTTTGGGTATATACCCAGGGGCAGAATTGCTGGGTCCTCTGGTAACTCTATGCTCAAGTTTTTGAGGAACTGCCAGGTTGTTTTCCACAGTGGCTGCACCATTCTACGTTCCTGCCAGCAGTGCACAGGGTTTCTAGTTCTCCACATCCTCTCCAGCACTTGTTATCTTTCTTTCCCACCCTCCTCCTCGTTCTTCAAATATGGAAGGCATTATGAATTTGTGTGTTGTCCTTGTGAGGGGCCACACTGAGCTCTGTATCATTCCATTTTAACATACGTGCTGCTGACGTGAGCATTGTGTCTTTTTTCTTACTTTGTGGATGATATCCTTAATTTTCCCTTCCCACCCTTCTAATGAGCTCTAATTTTGCTACTACACATGTAATTTTCAAGAACATTTGGTTTCCTAAATGCTTCTTTGTAAAAAGTACATCTTATTCTTTGTTTAAAGATTGCTTTTTAAAAAGACTATTTTTTAAAGCAGTTATAGGTTTATGATAAAATTGAGAAGGAGATAGAAATTTCCCATATACCTTGTTTTCCCTCATTGTCAACACAACTTGCCACAACAGTCCTTTTTTTAAAAATCAAGGATGACCTTACATTGACACATCATAATCACCCAAAGTCAATAGTTTAGCTTAACATTCACTCTCAGTGTTGTACATTCTTAGTGTTTGGACAAATATATAATGACATATATCCATCATTATAATACCATATAGAGTATTTTCACTGCCCTAAAAATCCTCTGTGGGCCTTGACTAGTGGGGCTCAGTGGGTTGGGCATCATCCTGCAAACCAAAAGGTCGCTGGTTCAATTCCCGGTTAGGGCACATGCCTGGGTTACAGGCCAGGTCCCAGTAGAGGGTGGATGAGAGGCAACTACACATTGATGATTCTCTCTCTCTCTCTTTCTCCTTCCCTTCCCCTCTCTCTAAAAATAAATAAATAAAATCTTAGAAAAAATAAAAATGCTATATTTGGTCAATACTTTCATACCTATCCTATAATTAGAGTAATTGCATGTATCATGTTCAGATTGAGAAACTGAGTCATGAAAACAAGTTAAATGACCTTCTTAAGTATATACAGCTAATGAGAATCTTTTGGGGTCTAGGAAAAATCATAGTTTTCTTCTTCAACTACCTCTATCTGGTAGTGATAAGGTGTCCACTCTGTTGAGAGGCGTCCCATCCAGGAAAGAGATTTTGTGGCAGAATTGTCACCATTTGTAAGTACTACCTACTGAGCATCCACTAAGTGCCTGGGGACATGCAAATGCTTTACACGCCTTGTCTCATTAATCTTTATCATGATTGTCTTTCCTTACAGATAGGAAACTGAGACCTGGAGAGGTGAAGTAACTTGCTGAAGTGCACATAACTTATAAATGGGAGAATGACGTTTGGAAACCAGGTCTCTGACTAGAAAGCTCAGGCTTTTTCCACTGCAGCTTCCTTTTGGGCACAGGTTAATAGCTTAGTCTAGTGGTGAAAAGGGGTTACAAGGTCTGTGTTGGGTTTACAGTGTGGTGTTATGAGAGCCCGTGAGAGGGGAATCTGGGAAGTTACCTGGATGGAAATAATCTAATCAGAGACCTGCTGGAACAGGAGGAGCTCTCCAGGGAAGAAAGGCCAAAGAGCATTCCAGGTCTAGTGATCAAAGACACAGTCCAGTACCTAGGGGAAAACAGAGTAATTTAACAAGTGTCGTTAGGAGGCAGGCATATGACAGGAGAGGTGGGGAGAGTGAAAGGAGGCTGGGCTAAGGAGGAAAGTGAGGGGAGGGCGGCCAACGAGAAGAACCTTTAAAATCTAATGAGGCAGTTAGGAGTTGATCATCAGGCCAATGGGGAACTACTTAAAGATTTTTAGCAGGAGTTTAAGGGTTTAAAATTTAAGGGCATTTTACATTTAGCAGTATGCAAAATTTTGTATTTTATAAAAATCACTCTGGTAGCTCAGGAAGAATAAATTTGAGAGGACAATAAGGGAGGAGTCAAGAATGATTCTCAAATGTATGTTGGACATGTAGCCAAAGTGGTGCCGATCACTGAGGCAGGGAAGAACTTCAGGAAAAAAATTTATTATAGAATCTAGGAGAGTGCTCTGATTAATTAGAGCTATTTTGCACAAGTCAGTATATAATGTTTAGAACTGGATAGACCTTATCTTCTTGATCATTATCCATAACAGAGTCTGATCTTAAGAGATTTGGGCATCCTTGTACTCATCACTGTAATCTTCCTTCGATATATTTTTTAAAGTTTTGATTGTGTATGGGCTCTTTAAAAAAATTAAATTGAATTTTACAAGTAACAGTGGCTTCCATAGATTCACTATTTTATTTTTTTAAAAGATTTTTTTTTTTACTTATTTTTAGAGAGAGGAGAAGGGAGGGAGAAAGGGAGTGAAACATCAATGTGTGGTTGCCTCTTGCACGCCCCCTACTGGGGACCTGGTCTGCAACCCAGGCATGTGCCCTGACTGGGAATTGAACCTTCCACCCTTTGGTTCACAGGCAGGTGCTCAGTCCACTGAACCACACCAGCCAGGGCAGATTTACTATTTTTAGATGAGTTTCCATATAAAAAGGAGTACCAACATGAGATTTTAAAAATATGTATTTATCAGATTTGCTATTTTCTAGATAATGATAATTACCAATAAAACTATCAAAAACTGAAGGATTAGTGAAATTACAAAATTCAATTTTTTGAAATAGATGTGGCTGTATGATTTTAAAAGTTGCCTAATGTAATATATTTACTCATTGATTCCTTCCTCTAATATTTATGATCTTTAGAAAATGTTACTGTTGGTTGTTCTGAGCATTCTATACAATATACAATATTAAAAATAATAAAATTATAGAGCTGAAAAGAATTTTGGATAATTTAATTCTCTCATTTTACAGTTGAGGAAACTGGGCACTAGAAAGTCTCTTCTAAAATACTAAACCACTGCTCCATCCTTGGACACTGCATACTATTTCATGAAAAAAAAAAAGATAACTTCAATCTGCATGTTCTTTAATGTAATGAAAAGTGGAAAATAATATGGTTTTGTGGAGAGGACTTGAACTGGCTCTTACATACATCATTGGGCCGCAGTTGCTTTGGGCAAACAGTAACATGGATTGACTTCACATTAAAGGTTCCGACAGCATGTACATATATAGAATAGTGGCTTGTAGAATACCGAAGTAAAAATCAATTAAAGGCCATAGTGCATGAAAGGAATTTCTATAATAAACATTTCTAAAGCTCAGAGTGTTTGCAAAATATCTCTCATTTGCATAACCACAATTCCCACACTTCTTAATAATCAAATTTCTTGTAGAGAGTTGATAAAATACAAAGCACTTTTGGGAGCTATGTATTTCATATGCACTTAAACAGTCTATATTACTGTTCTGGCAAAAAAAGAGTATAAAAATTTATATTTTTATCAGGGGAAAAATTAAGTAATTAAAAAAGTTTACTCCTGTCAAACACCAGTTGACTGACTGATGGATGGATTTCCATGGTGAGACTGTGGGGGAAAACGCACATAATCTAGCCTGATTCTAACATGTTCAGGGACTAACATGGCACAACATAAAATTACAAATTAAATATTTGATTCTTTAAGGTTGGGAATAATCAAACACTGTAGAAGTCCCTTAACAAAAGCAATGTAACATTTAGTGTGTCAGAGGCATCATATGTAGTATAGGCTAGAGTCTATGTGAGATAATAGGAAAAATACATATTGGGCTCAGCCCTTGGTTCCTGACACAGGGTTCCTAAAACCATTGTAAATTCCAAAGAGATACGAGCACTTGGGAGCATCTTCTCTTTTACTGAGGTGACTGAGTTGAGTCCTAGATGGCTCCTGGTCACCAGAAAGAGCAAACCACAATTAGAAGCTTAGAATTTTCAAGCCTGCCCCCTACTTCTCCAGACAGCAGGGAGGGACTGGGATGGAGTTAATAATTGATCATGCCTACCTGAGGAAGCTTCCATAAAATTCCAATAGCATGGGGGTTTGGAGAGCTTCCATTTGGATATACTTAGGTAGACAGTGTCAGAACTGAGTTACATTCTGATGTTGCAGAGAATTGCTTGGTGTGGGGAAAAACCTTCCATACATGTGGTGAACAGAAGTGAAGAAGTGTTTTCACGTGAGCAATAAAGGAGAAACACAGACCTGTAGGTTGTTCTGCTTCACCGTTTCTCTCCTAGGGCCCTTCACACTTGAGGGTCTTCCAAAACAACCTAACTCTTTATAAACCTTTCAACTGTTAACCTTTTCTCTCCAAGAAAGCATAAAAAAGCAACCTTCTTCTACATTTGTATTTTCTCCCACCTGCGCATATCGCCATCGAGATTCCATGCGTTTCCGGCATAATTCCATTGTGAAGCCTTTCTGATGGAAGGGACCCAAGGAAACTGTAGAGGACCAGCAGTCCATTGAGTGGCCTGTTGCTTGCTGACATTCTAAGTACTTAAAAATAACTAAAGTGCATTTAACTTCGTTTCCCAGGAAATTTAAAGTAAACAGGGCTATTGTTGCTTCCCCACCCCAAACGTCAGTAACTTATAAATCAGCCTCATATAAGAACTTCCAGGGCCCTTGGAGCCGTGTTTATCCTAGGTGCAAAGCAGAGCTTTTGGCTTTCAGCACCCAGTTCCCTCAAGTTCTACTTAGGGCTTTTTATCTCTCAGACTTTCAGTTTTCTCCCTGAGGCCCAGATGCAAATGACGTTTTCTTGGTGAAGAACTTTGATTAAGGGCGGGCTCCACGGTCCTCTTCCCACTTTGGCGCCTGATGGGTTGCTCGCTCTGCGAAGGACAGGCCTCCTAGATCCAGAACCAGAGCTCGCAGCCGGGTCTAGGGCAGAAACTCGTCTTCAGAAAAGAAAAATCTTGGAATCCAAGAGGTGGGGCCAGAGGCGCGTCCTCCCTGGACCCCGCCCTTTAGCTGTCTCCGCGGAGGGAGCGGAGTTCGGGGCTCCCGGGAGCACGAATGTGGAGACTCCGGTGCTCATGGCTCGCGTCCTAGGCCCCGAGGGCCCCTCCGCGCCACTCCTGGCGGCGGGGAGGGGGAGGTTTCGTCGGGCGGCCGGGATCCTGGCGCACGTGTGCGGGCTGACCCTGCTCATGAAAAGGTAACAGCCACCCGGGCCCCGACACGCAGCGGCCAGGGCTGCCTCTTCTGTGGCGACTGCCCTCGGAATGCTGGTTCCGAAAAACAGCCGAACCATGCGGCTCCCTGGGCAGGACCCAAGGTGAACCAGCCATCACAGCGAGGTCTGTTCCCTCCTCGAATTTGCTCTTAGTCCTCGGGCAGGAAAATCACTGTCTTCATCCTGGAAACCGGGTCTAGTTCGCCCCTGGTCCTTCGCATCTTCTTTTATCAGCTGTGAATGTGCCAAGATGGTTTCCAAAACTAGGAGACTACCGGAGGAAAAGTCTACGTTCGTTTTTCCCTATTTGCCTCTGGAGAAAGCAAACATCGGAGAGTTGGCCCCTGGGACTTTGATTTTAAGTGTGGCCCCAAGTATGGCTTGTAACTGTGTGGGAACTCTGTTGCTTGAGGAAGACCGGTTTTGTGATTGCGATCACACAGCATAGGTGAGAGAGGGGTTTTAGTTCTAGTTTTCGGTTTCCTCTCAGGAGCCAGGTGAAGAATCCATCTATGAGGGTCTCCCACAGAAGTAATAACAGCTGGCGTTGAGAAAAGCTTGATTTTGCTTGATTGTAAACTTGCGATGTAAAATGCCATATAAAATGGGCGTGTGTACCTATAGGCAGTCACCTAGATGTGGAATCTTTAGATTACCCTGAAGTAATGCTGGGGCTAAATTTGCTCGCCTGGGTGCCCGCCCAGCTGCTGTGTAGGGCACCTGGGTGGCGCTTGGGCGATTATACACCTGGCATGGGCACCTCTGAGAACACAATAATAGCAGCAACAATAAAATTTACAATATTTATCGAGCATTTACTATGTGCTATGTGATTCTAATTGTATATACCATTTAATGTAAAGTGATATTCTGGGTGCTTTAATACATTACTGAGTTTTGAGAGTTTTGAGAAGCATATGAACTGGCTGCTATTATTAGGCCCATTTTACAGGTGGTGAAACGGAAACAGCTTTTCAGGTAGGTAGGTGCCCCCATTCTCCAGGTGCTAGGAGTATGGTCTGCCAACAGCTCACAGGTGTGCCTTCTCTCAAGCATTGCCCTTGCCTAATGGAAGGTGTCCCACCACAAAATGCCCAGGAGGTTACACCCCAAGACTCTCAGGTGTGGTCTGTGGCTAAAGGAGGTATGGGGGTACCTCCCTCCCATAGAAGGATGGGCTGTAGCTGGACCCACATTTTTGCCTTGCTTCTTCCCTTTCCCTGTCCTGCTCATCTTACTTCCTTACAGTTTTCACCTGAGAGATTTAAATCGCATAAGAATCTTCATTCCAGCCTCTGCTTCTGTGAAACTCAACCTGAGATAACTACTCTGCTATACTGGGTTGTGAAGTTTTCCAAGTTTTATTCTTTATTCACTAGAGATATTTCTTTCTATGGCAAGACAAATAATCCACTGGTTTTGAACATATATCAGATGACAGTTTCTTCTGATTAAAACAATGAAATGTATGTATATGGAAACTAGGCTGCTAAAGTACTTTATTTATTTGTGTCAAGGATATGATAGAATGACTTCTCTGAAGTGCTGTTTGGCCGAGAAGAGTCTATTCCTACCAGGGAGGGAGTTAGCCAGAGTGGGTGATAAGTACTTGTTCATTGGTTTATTGATTGATGAAACTGGTTATGAGAAGGACACGTAACACAGGCATACCTGAGGGCTATTGCAGGTTTCATTGTAGGTTACTATAATAAAGCAAGTATCACAATAAAGCAGTGGTGAGTTTTGCCTTCAATTCGTTAAAAATAGCAACATCTATGAAGTGAAATAAAGTGAAGAGCAATAAAATGAGGTGTGCCTGTACTGTTTTTAATAGCTTTATGGAGATATAACTGACATAGTGAAAGTGTACATTTTAATAAGTTGATATATGTAGATACCCATAAAACATAACCAGGATCAAATTACTAAAATATCCATCGCTCCCAAAAGTTTCCTCAGCTCCCTTGAAATACCTCCCATTCCAGCCCCAGACAACCACTGGTCTGCTTTTTGTTATAGTAGCATAAGGTAGAACAAGATTTTGGAGACAGACCATGAGCTTCCGTCACCCACCAGCTGAGCATGCCTGAGCTCAAGGCATTCAGGGGTTTCCATGGGTTGGACCATGAGGGGAGTTGAAGTAACTGGGGCCAGGCTGCCATCTGCTCAGGGAGAGGAGATGGATACAAATTGGACTCTGATGACAACTTTGGCATCCAAGGCAAATTCCAGAGCGTGTGGCAAATTCAGATGAGGTTCCGGCAACTTTTGGGATTGAGGCAGTCTGGGGTGTTGTTACAGGTTGAAGAAGGCTCTGAGGCCATCCTTGAAGTGCACACCCAAAATAAAGACATACAAACAAAACTCACCACCAACATCCAGAACTCCAAGGCTGGCATGGGAAAGGGAATTTCCTGGTGGGAGGGGCAGCTGGTTTTTGCCCTTCAAGTTCATCATCCTCTTGGTTTTCATAGTGGTCACTCCTGGCTGTGGGAGACACGCCTTCTTGTTTTAACCCTGCAGCTCAGGTTTGCTATTTTGCAGTCCAGCTCAGACATGGTTAGAATGTTCTGAGGCGTGTTTGAAGGTGCTGGCAAAAGCAACAGAGCAATAAATAACACAGCGAGAACGGTTGCTCAGGTTAATTTGTTTTTTAAAACAGTTTTTTCTCTGATTTATGATTCTGCTCAGCTTCTACACTGGCTCGCATGCCTGGAAATCCCCTTCATCGACTCCTCGAATTGCAGACCAAACCCAGTTTGCAGGATTTCCCAGCTCCTTTCCCATCTCGTGTCTTTGCTCCTCCTTGGGGGATTCTTAGGGCACAAGGACTGATGGTTAACTTTGTAATCTAGCTCTTGATCTCAATGGTTTAAACCATCTCTGCTCAGTAGAAATATAATATGAGCCACAAATGTGAGCCACATAGATAATTACAAAAATTTCTAGTAAGCCACATTAAAAAAAGTTGAGGTGGGGAGAAACAGGTAAAATTATGTTTAGTATTTTCAACCCAATATTTCCAAAATATCATTTTAGCAAGTAATCTATATAAAATTATTACTGTGATATTTTACATTCCATTTTCATACTAAGTCTTTGAAAACCCAGTGGGAATTTTACATGCACAGCACAGCTGTTTGTCCTGCTCTATGCCATGTGTACATACTGGACAGTAAAGTTCAGATGGAGCATCATGTTCTGGATCCAAAATTAATTAAGTGTTCTGCAGGGAGAAGAAGAATATTAGTGCTTTTTTTACACTTAGTTTGGAGTACTGGTATAGGCAGTCCTGTGGACAGCGATAATAGGCCTTGGGAAGATGCATTAAGGGCATTAAGACAAAAACATTTTCCAATTTCATTTTTCAGAGCAAAATGTAACCACATCTATAGTAAGTTGCAAATTTCACCTTGCTTTTGAATCCATACCTTCATTTTCCTCTGGATACCAACTTGCATGTTAACCTGTGTGTGTTCTACTTCAGTTGACCAACCTCCATATTAGCTTGTTTGTTCCAAATTTTCTCTATCAAGCAAGTACTTTTATATTTCTAAAAGTTGCTATCACTTCTCCTTCAGGTACATTGAAAAGAGTCGAGCAGAAGAATGGGCCCGATTTTACTTAAGCATAAAGAACCATTCAGCTAATGAACTATTATTCGACATGAGCAATTTTTCTAAATATAGCTTGGTTAGTATCTTTGTCTCCATCTTAATTAGTAGCTATTTAATTTTAAGATTATAAAATGTGTAATATCTTTTTAAATTATATTTTTAAGTATACAGTGATGAATAATAATAATATCACTTTGGGCAAAGGTTTAAAAATAGAGTGATGGCCCTTACAGGTGTGGCTCAGTAGTTGGGCATTGTCCTGCAAAGCAAAATGTCACCAGTTTGATTCCCAGTCAGGGCACATGCCTGGGCTGTGGGTTTGGTCCCAGGTCAGGGTGCATGCAAGAGGCAACTGGATGATGTTTCTCTCTCACATCCATGTTTCTCTCTGCCTCCTTCTCCCTCCCTACCCTTCACTCTAAAAGTAAGTAAGTAAATAAACAAATACATTTTTTTTTAAAAGGGTGATGACACTCAATGTTTCAAGGGTATGGGAAAATGGACACTTTCATCCATCTGTTGATGGTGGGATTGTAAATTTCTACAGGGATTTTGGAGGGCAAGTTGACAATATATATTAAAATTCAAAATGCTCATACCTTTGTCTCTGTGATTCCAGTTTTAAAAATGTACTCCATGGGAATGATTGGATAAATGCACACATTTGCATGTGCAAGAATGTTTACCTTATTATTTATAATTTAAAGAATGGAAACAATTTTTATTTCAACAACATTTATTTGGTGCTGTCTCCGCTGAGCATGGGAGTCGGTTCAGGGTTACAACAGTTGGTCAGATTTAGTTGGGTCCTTGCACTCATACAGCTTAGAGCCCAGGAAAGAAGACAGTCAGCTAAACCTTTGTTGAGTGCAGCACTGGTAGTGTAGACTGTGGTTGAAGCACAGATGAGGGGAGCTCTGTGCAGAATTGGGGAGGCAGTGAAGGCTTCTTGGGGGAAGTGATACCTAACTGGGTGCTGAGGGGTAACTGGGATAATTGTGTATTGTGAAATATGTGGCCAAGTGTGATGCAACTATTGAAAATGATGGTGTACAAGTAGAAGTAAGTAGTATATCACTGAAGAAAATAATCAGGTCACAAGACAGAATAGTGTAAATTTGTTTTTATAAAATTATATGTTTTTGTGTGTGCGCACATGTGTATATATGTACATACATGTTTGTACATATGTATATACATGCATACACATAAAGACAAAAGTAGAGATCTAGACTGCCTTAAAATGTAACAGTGATTATAGTTTGTAGACTTCAATAGATTTTTACTCTTAAATGTGAATATGTTTTCATAATCATAAAAATACTTGTATATATCTTAAAAATTTGAAATAAAATAACTGTAATGCAGGTTAAGTGTAGGAAATTTGGAAACTATAGAAAGCTTATAGAGAAGAAAATTAAAATGACTAAGAATTCCATCTCCGAGATGACAGATGATCCATTGTGACATTTTGGTGTATTTCCCTCCATTCTTTACATGCATATGAACGTATTGGCTCTTTTCTTTTTAATTTTTTTTAAAGATTTTATTTATTTGTTTTTAGAGAGGGAAGGGAGGGAGAAAGAGAGAGAGAGAGAAACATCAATGTGCGGTTGCTGGGGGTCGTGGCCTGCAACCCAGGTATGTACCCTGACTGGGAATCAAACCTGCGACACTTTGGTTCGCAGCCCATGCTCAATCCACTGAGCTACGCCAGCCAGGGCTTTAAATTTTTTTTTAAAGATTTTATTTATGGCTCTTTTCATAATGATATGTGTCTTGTACATCAGTTTGAAGTTTTAGTATATTTAATATTAAAAATAATTTGAGCTTATTCATAGATATTCTGTCACAAAGTAAAATTTAACTCTGGAAATGAAAGTTTATTATGTTTAATGGAGTTAAATTCTTTTATATATTTGGGGAAGATATTGACATTAAATAAAACAATTCCCTTTCCTCTGTTTTTAAAAAAATTTGGTACCATTAAATTGTTATATGTTAATTGTACCTATGATAATTTTTTTTCTGGTCATTCTTTTGAACAGATTTTAGGGTTAATCTGGGTAAAAGCTCATTTTTCATGAGTTCTTATGAATAACATTACTAGATCCCATTAGAACAATGCCAGCCATGATGGGAGTGTTAATGTGCTTCTCACTGTACACGCAGTTCACAATGTAGGCAGGCGGTAGAGTGGAGTAATGTTCCTTGACTTTGGGATTATATGTTGTATTATCTCTGCTATATTGCTCTGGTAGACTATGGTAGTGCTGTCATTCATTCTTTTTTCTTTAAATAGCTACTAAAACCCAGAAGAATATATATGACATATTTCTGTATCATTTATAGGCATTTTAAATAGCCAGGAGATTTTCTTTCTTATATAGGAAGCCAAAAAAGGTAAATTGCTTTCATGAATTAATACATGTAAAGTGCTTGGAATAGTGCCTCGTACATACTAAATGCTCAATAATTATTATTATCACTATCGAGATCAAATGAATTATCAGAACAAGTTTAGGAGTATCTTAGGTCTATATTCGGATTCTCATCATTAGGCATAGGATGTGAAAAGTAAATTAATATCAAGATATAGGATGGAAGGCATACTTTTTTATGTTAAAACCTGAGGCCTGGAATAAAAAGTTAAAGAAAGATACTGAAACAAAAGATAAACTCAACGGAGTTGTGTTTCATCTTATAGTCTAGCCCTTGGTCAGTAATACTATTTTGAAATTTAATTCCCTAGATAAAAAGTAAACAACAGTTGACACTCTTGTACAGGTTCATTGAATCTGGTGAATGTGATCTCCATGCAGCTGGGTTGACATGAGATTGGACTGCATTCATGAGGTGACTCATACTCCTCAACTAGAGAGACGGCTTTCAGCACATAAACTCTCAGTTTGCTGTAATGGTCTCGTTGCCCTAGTTATACTCAAACATGCCTCTCTATAACATGACCAGTGCATTCCATACTTGGTACTTCAATTGTTTTAAGTGAATTCATTTCTTAGAATAATTTCAACAAAGTTAATGTGTACAGTTAAAAGTCAATATTACATAAACATAACACTCAATGTTCCCCAGGCTATAAATCCTGTCCCAATTTTTGGAAGAAATTGTGTCCATGGGGACAAGTAGGATGCATTCAATGTAAGTGCACTTTGTTTCATAGAGCAAAGATTTCGCGAAGCTGAAAACATTGATGTTCATTCAACCTAAGCAAAGGAGCCAAGAAAATCTCCGAGAGGTAAATAAATAAAATTTTGTTGATATATGATTATTCTAATGTATTTAGTTATACTTTTCTTCTATTATTTTAAGCAAATACAGGTTAACACTATAAAAACATTATGCCAAATTATTTTTCTTATATTTCTACTCTCCCCTCCTTCATGTTAGGGTTTAGAAATCAAAATAGGATTAAGTAAAGATGGTTGGAATATTTATATGTTTTAATAAGTACATCCAGCGAAGCTCTTCTTTCATTTATTTCATATGTTGATTAAAGAAATATTAATCAATGAGTTACAACTATATGTTATATTCAAGGTATGTATTTGAGATAAATAATTGATTTTTGAATATAAATTTATTTAAGCCTATTAAAATGTTTTCTGTAATTTTAATTTACTAATCTTTGAATGAACTTCAGCAACTCATTATGTAGATATAGATTTCTGTCCCTGAGAGATTAGGTAGATCTGCTCTGCTTCTGTTAAAATTTTAATATACTTAGGTAAATTGGATGTATATTTGTTATTTTTTTAACCTCTAAAGAATGTTTTGTATACCAGCTATAAAGTAAAAAGAGGTATTGATTTTTAAACATTTTAAAATATAAAGCATTTAGTATCCTAAAAAATAAAGTGTTGCATTACAAGTTGTCATCATCTTTGGCATCAGACATTTCTAAGAGGCAGTGTTTTCTGTGCTGGGGCCCCTATCTTGAATCCACCTATATTGTAGCCACGTGATTTCTTGTTACTATGAGCTAAAAGTCTTTTTTTAAAAAAGATTTTATTTATTTATTTTTAGAGAGGGAAGGGAGGGAGAAAGAGAGAGAGAGAGAAACATCAATGTGCGGTTGCTGGGGCTGTGGCCTGCAACCCAGGCATGTGCCCTGACTGGGAATCGAACCTGCAATGCTTTGGTTCGCAGCCCACACTCAATCCACTGAGCTACGCCAGCCAGGGCTATGGGCTAAGATTCTTGTGTGAGTTCAGACAGTCCTCAAATTAACAGTGAACAAATTTAGGTTAAATTTATTTTTTTCATAGAACCTACTTTAAGTAGAGAACTGTATTCCTGAAGATATAGAAATAAACACTATATTTATTTAGCCCTGGCTGGTGTGGCTCAGTGGATTGAGTACAGGCCTGCAAACCAAAGGGTCACTGGTTCAGTTCCCAGTCAGGGCACATGCCTGGGTTGTGGGCCAGGTCCATAGTAGGGGGTGCATGAGAGGCAACCACATATTGATATTTCTCTCCCTCTCTTTCTCCCTCCCTCCACCTCCTTAAAAATAAATAAATAAAATCTTTTAAAAAATAAACACTATATTTATTCAATTCTTTATGAATCATGTGCATACTATGAACTATACAGCTTTCTTGAGTATACACAAGGCAGTCAAAGTGGCATTAAATTACCAAGCACTTTGTAATTCCAAAGAAGGTTTCCCAGGGTCAGAAGAAGTACTGGGATTGGACAACTGAGGATTCTGATGGTGGGTACCTGTCAGAGTCAAGAGCTGAGGGTAGGGTATCTTACGAGTAAGAATCACACTGGTTCCGAGCCATTGCCACCCATGAACCCCAGGTTTTGAAAGGTCTTTGCCTCCTAACAAAAGTCATTTGTTTAGTTCATTTATCTTCCTGCTTTCTAAAATTAATGATATTTTATGGTCAGTCAGCACTTTTGTTCACGCTGAGCTGACATGATTCCAGTTGAAGAGAATAAATTACATGTTATTCTGGATGACTTTGTTACAGGTAAATGAATGATCTCATTGGATTTTTCAAAATATTGAAAGTTCAAAAATTCCTGCCCACCCACAGTCTCCCTTTTATTTCTTCAAGGAGCTCTAGTGGTAACAGAGTGGAAGTACCTGTACTGGATGTTGTCAAAGAGAGGACAATGGGACAGCAGGACAGCAGGAATGAATAGTTTTGTATCTAATCAGATAGGAGCAATTGTCAGTTCAGGGAATAAATTTACTATAAACCAGAGAATTTTCTCTGCATTGTCCTAAAGGTAGATGATTATTTTACTGCTACATGCATTTTAGGTAAAGAGAAAGCACTGGGCTGAACATAACTATGTTCTTTATGTGTTACTAACTTTTCTACAAAGTGCCACTTACCATCAACCTCCCTGTGCTTCATGTCACCTCAGCCGTCAGTCAGACAACTCACCGATGCCAGCCGGTGTCTGTGAAGCAGGAGCCTAGGAGGATAAAGAGATTGAACTGGAGGCTGATTCTCTGTAATCCACCCCAGGGTCTTCAGCTGGGTGTGTTGAAACAGGGCTACCTCACAGAGCGACAACTTGCGCAGCCACACTTCTGGGAGATGTTAGTTTGGGAAACTTGGACATTCAAAATGCACAGGTGGATAGTAATAATTGGTTACTGCTGATTTGTTTTATTTTTGGCTTCAGTCACCTGGCATTGAGAGACCCATTCATTTCAAGTTTCTGAGTGGAACTCCTGTATTTAGCTGAAGCTAAATTTTTTTTTAAAACTTCGGCTTGATAAATTTAGACTTACAGAAGACTTGCACACTCTCTACCTAGCTTTCTCTAATGTTAATATCTCGTATAGCTGTGGTTCAATGATCAAAATTAAGAAATTTAGATCGGTTTGTCAAATACTATCAACTAAACTCTACTCTATTTAGGTTACCCAGGTATTTCTACTAGAAGCCTTTTTTCTATTCCCAAATTGGGATCCCACACCATCTCTAGCTGTCATGTCTTCTCAGTTTCTTTCAGTTTGCAACAGATCTTCAGGTTTCCTTGTCTCCGATTACCTTGACACTTTTGAAGAGCCCTGGTTGGATGTTTTGGAAGGTGTCCATCAGTTTGGTTTTCTTTTCCCCCATGATTAGATAGTTAGGTGTTGGGTATGTGATATCAGTATTTTATTACTTGGCTACAGTGGTGCCTGCCAGGGTCTCCACCATGAATTTACCATTTCCCCCTTTCTGTACTCTGTTTTTTGGAAGTGAGTTAGTAAGTCCAGCCCACTGGAGTTATTGAGTCAAGTCTGAGTGGAACTCAATAACTGGAGTTATTGAGCCAGAGGATTTAAGATCCATCTCCTGGAGGGAGGAATATTTAAAAAAATAGATGTATGCTACAACCACCACAGTCATTGATAAATATTTGGTGGGAGATACTTTGAGGCAATGTGAATACCCTGTTTCTCTTTAAAGTTTCACTCACTAATTTTAGCTTTTGTCTGGGGATCTTGTCTGCAGCAATAATTACTTTCTTACATTAACAGTGATGTTGTATTTTCCTCATTCTTTCTGTGTTTATAATTCTTCTACAGGAAGAGTTGCCTCTTTTCATCCACTCATTCTATTGTGTATTTATATCTGTATAGTCTCATGGATATTTATTAACTTACAGATCTTTATTTTATTCTTTGAGTTATAAAATTACTTTGAGTTATTAATTACTATCATTGTTCATTATACTGCTCAAATTGTTTCAGCTGTAGCCATCAGGAACTCTGAATAGTCGATTCCTATGTTCTTTTGACAAAACCACATCTTTTTTTTTTCAGTACTAACTTACTTTCTGGCATCCTTAAGATCTTCCAGGTTTACCTTGTCTCTTCCATACCCTAACCCAAGAACCAGCCATTTCTTTGAGCATGGAGCCTTTTATTGTAGAATGAAACTGGAATGAGATTTAGAAACCAAAACCTGGCCTTTAATTGTTCTTATTACAACTTGAGAGTCATTGCTGCTAGGCCTTCTTAGCTCAGAGAACCAGCAAATGTTTGTATGATTACTCACACATGTATCTGTATTCATTTCTGTATGTATCCATCTGTACATATATTAAAATAAACACTAGGCCATACTGACATGTCCAATTCCAGTCCATACCCCAGGATTTATTCCAGCATCCCTTTCTGCTTGTTTGTAGCTTCTTTGTCCCACAGCCACAAACCTGGCTGTCATTATCTACAGTATGTTTACTTATTTGTTAAACTCTAGAATATATGTGAAGTAGTTTCAGAATTGTCGACCTAGATCCCTGTGAGATCCATATTTACTAACTTGAGCACAGTGTTTTGCCTTGAGCTTTACAGTTTCAAAACTTTGTTACATAAAGTGTTTCATTGGCAAGTCCATTGTCATGAGACTGTCCCCCTGTTTTTCTTCTAAGAATTCTACAATTTCAGCTCTTACAGATTTACATCTTTAATCAATTTTGAATTGATTTTTGTGGGTGGTATAAAGTAAGGGTTCAATTTCATTTTTTGCATGTGGATATCCAGTTTCCCCAACACAATTTGTTGAAGAGACTGTCCTTCCCCATTGTGTATTCTTGGCACCCTTGTTGAAGATCAGTTGATGACATGTGTGGATTTATTTCTGGGTTCTCTATTTTGTTTCATTGGTCTGTGTCTGTCTTTATGCCAGTACCATATTGTCATTACTGTAACTTTGTAATCTATTTTGAAATTAGAAAGTGTGATGCCTCTAGCTTTGTTCTTTTTCCTCAAGATGGTTTTAGCTATTCTGGGTCCTTTGTGGTTTCATGTGAATTGTAGAATTTTTTTTTTATTTCTGTAAAGGATGTCACTGGGATTTTGATGAAGATTGCATTGAATCTGTAGAACACTTTGTGTAACACAGACATTTTAGCGATTTAAGTCATTCAGTCCATGAACACGAGATCTCTTTCCATTTGTTTGCATCTCCTTTAACTTCTTTCATCAATGTTTTATAGTTTTCAGTGTACTGATATTTCACCTCCTTAGTTGTTTATTCCTAAGTATTTTATTCTTTTTGGTGCTATTGCAAATGGGATGTATTCCATAACAGCATTGATCTTGGCAATTATTTCATGGATATGACACCAAAACCACAGGCAACAAAAGCAGAAATAGACAAGTGGGACTACATCAAACTAAAAAGCTTCTGCACAGCAAAGGAAACAATCATCAACATAAAAAAGACAACCTGTGGAATGGGAGAAAATATTTGCAAACCATTTATCTGATGGATAATATCCAAATATATAAGAAATTACTACAACTAAATAGCAAAACCCAAATAACTCAGCTAAAAAATGGGCAAAGGAACTGACTAGACATTTCTCCAAAAAAACATGCAAATGGCCGGGAGGTATATGAAGAGATGTGTAAGGTTAGTAATCATCAGGGAACTGAAAATCAAAGCCACAATAAAATACCAACTTACACCTGTTAGAATGACAATTATCAAACAACCAAAAGACAGCAGCCTTCGAAAGGAATGAATTTATGGTACAAGAAACAATATAGGTAACCTTGAAGACATTGGGCTAAATGAAGTCAGCCAGTTATATAATGACAAATACTTCATGATTACATTTATGTGAGATATATAAAATAGTCAAACTCATGCAGACAGAGAGTAGAATGTTGGCTAGGATATCGAGAAATTGGAACCTTTATATAAAGTGTTGGTGGGAATGTTAATTGGTATAACTGTTGTGGAAAACAGTATGAAACCTCCTCAAAAAGTAAAAAATAGAACTATCATATGATCCAGTAATCTCCCTTATGGTATTTATCCAAAAGAATTGAAATCTGGATTTCAAAGAGACATTAGCATTCCCATGTTCATTGTAGCACTGTTTCCAACAGTAATGTGTGGAAAGAGCGTAAATATCCATTGATGGATGAATGGACAAAGAAATTTGTCATATCCATTAAACAGATTATTCAGCCTTCAAAAGGAATGAATTTTTGATAATGCAATAATGCAAATGAACTTTGAAGACATTATTCTAAATGAAGTAAGCCAGCTGCATAACAACAAATACTTCAGATGATGTGTTGTGGAATTGTGCACCTAAAACCTATATAATTGTGTTAATCACTGTCACCCCAGTAAATTCAATAAAAAGAAAAAAAAATCAAATACTTCATGATTCCACTTACATTACATACATAAAATAGTCAAAATAGGCAGAGAGTAGAACAGTGGTTGCCAGAGGCTGAGGAGAATAGGATGGGGAGAATTATTAGTTAATGGTCAGAGAGTTTATTTACAGAGTGATAGAAAAGATTTGGGAACAGGTGGTGGAGATGGTTGCATAGCAGTGTGAATGTAATTAATGCCCATCTACTGTACACTTAAAATGGTTAAAATGGCATAACAGTTTTTGAAAAAGTATGCTGATAGCATGCAGAAGCTATTACTTAAGGTTTAAACACCCTAAAATTTCAAGTTTTTAAATTTAGTAACCATTACAGAAAACTAGTATCTATCAGGTCAGAAAATGATGCCTTTTAGTTAGTCCAGCATTTTTATAAATAGTAAATTAAGTCTGTGTATTATAAACACCAGATTTCAAAGTATTAAAAAAATAAAATATTAACACAAAAATATACTCATTTAGGAATTCAGTGGAGTTTTAATTTTTTAGTAATGAAGAGGCAAATTTAAAGATAATTCTTATAAATGTCCTTCCACAGGTAAATGGATGAAAAAATGGATACATCTATACAGCAAAATATAAATTGGTCAATAGAAGGGAACAAACCTTTGATGCACACAAGACAAGGTTGACCGTAAATGCATTTTGTTAAGTCAGAAACAAAAAGCAGTGTATCCTATGATTATATTTATATGATATCATGGATGGCAAAACTATAGAGAAAGAGAATGGTGCCAGAATTGGGAGTCTGAGAAGGGGTTACCTGAGATCTGGATTGCTGGGTAATATGATAATTCTACAGCTTTTTGGGTAACTGCCAAATTGTTTCCCACAGGAACTGCACCAGCAATGCCCAAGAGTGTGAAGTGGTATCTCACTGTGGTTTTGATTTGCATTTCCCAAATGACTAAAGATGTTAAGTATCTTTTCATGTACTTGTTGGCCATTTGTATGTCTTCTTTGGAGAAATGTCTATTCAAGTCCTTTGCCTATCTGTTAATTGGCTTGTCTTTTTGTTTTTGAGTTGTAGGAGTTCTTTATATATTCTAGGTATTTAACCCTTGTCAGATGATTTGCAAATAATTTCTCCCATTCTATAAATAGTGTTTCCTCTTTTCTGATACTCTCCTCTAATGCAAAGAGTTTTAAGTTTGATGAAGTCTAATTTAGTTTTTCTTTTCCTGCTTGTGCTTTTGGTGTTGTAACTAAGAATCCATTGCCAAATCCAAGGTCATGAAGGTTTACCCCTTTATTTTCTGGTTTAATAGTTTTTAGGTCTTACCCTAACTGGTGCATCTCAGTGGGTTGGGTGTCATCCTGTGAACTGAAAGGTCGCTGGTTTGATTCCTGGTCAGGGCACATGCCTGGTTGCAGGCCAGGCCTTCGATGTTTCTCCCCCTCTCTTTCTCCTTCTCTTCCCCACTCTCTAAAAAATAAAATCTTTTAAAAAATAGTTTTTAGGTCTTATATTTATTTAGGTCATTGGTGCAATTTGAGTTCATATTTGTATATGATATGAGGTGGGGGTTGTGAGCTTATCTTTGTTTTTAGACCCTTTAAAAATGCAAACATTTTAAAGATTTAGTAGCCACATCACAGCTCTTTTTTCAAAGATCCCAGGCAAATGCAATATTAATGCAGAGTAAAACCAAATACTTTGGAAAAAGGAATGTTTGAACTTCTTACTTCTAGTGTCTTCCAATGAAGGACTGCTGGATGCCATCAGATTTTATTTTTATAGTTCTGGGTTTTTACTAAATTTTTTTTCTGGACAAGGCAAGTACTAAAGGATTCCTTACCAACTCCTTCACAGACGTGGGTCCTAGCACCGGGGAACTTCATGAATGCTGGGGAAGACCATCTCATCATTGTACTGTTGTTTCCTTCGCTTCCATAGGAGAGTTCTTACTATTTTTAAGGCCATCCCAAATTCTCATGAATGCAGACGTGGAACATTTTAGCGATCAGCATCTACCACAGAAGAAATGGCTAGACTTTGGAGAACACAGAAAATCAAGCCTTGTTTTAGTTATCAGAAATATTGAACAGATCTGAGCTAATAACAGAGCAACACAATCATTTGCCTTGAGCCCTTTTCTAAGGTGTTCTTGTTTTCTTTTAAAGATTCAACTATGCCTAAAGAAGAACAGGTCATTTCACAGTTTGCCAAATGAAGTGCAGCTGCAACTTTGCCAGACTGCGATCTATCAAGAGTAAGTGACACAAAAATATCCCATTGGGTTTTGGCAGTCCCCTAAGAAAGGCCGATGGTGACTAGAGTTTAACCAGACTTCCCAGACAAAACACATGCTATACATTGAATGCTGACCAGAAGATATAGGTCATAGTTGGAGGTTTGGGCTTTGAACTCTGTCATGTAATGATGAATTTTCAAAGCAACATGAAGGAAACTAGATTTGAAAGTAGGATGAATACTAAGACTTGTTATAAGCAAAATGCCAAAATAAAAAAATATCAGACTGCTGTAATAGATGACTTATTTATCTGGAAAGAGGAAAACATGCAAACTGTATTAGATAAAATACCCTAAGTTTTATGATAGAGGTCTGAAGTTGACGTTTTGCAACTAGGGGTTGCCCAAAATCTTTTGAACAAACTTTATATTTTTATAGTGCTCCATAATGTAAACTCTACCATCTTAATGAGAATATAAACAAAATTAAAAAACGACATGACAACCTACCTTTTCCTGCCTCCCCTCAATGTGATTTAGATTCTGACAGGTACTTTTGCATGACATTTGAGGTGATGGTAATATATTTGGGGGAGTAGGTAGGACGTGGACCATTCATTTTGCCAGTACTGATATTGGCAAAGAGCACAGGAGTTTTTGTTCAGATAGTGGCCCCAGTGTCCTGGCTGTGATGGAGGCAGTGTGGCTCTGGGGTCTGCCCAGGATCTTCACCAGAGTTGTTTTTGGAAATTTGGCCTGGACACTACACTAATCTTTCTAAAGATTCTATAAGTTATCTAATACCTGTAATAAACCTTTACTTTCTTTAACCAGTCATAATGGATTCTGTTGTCTGAACACATAACCACGTTTCATAGAAGGTCCATCATGTATACAATTCTTTCTTGGAAAAAGTTAATTAATGTAGCTTTAACATGAAGTGTCATTTTAAAAATCATTGATATTTATAAATTTTAAGGGAGAGTTACTTTTAATCAAGCACCAGTTCACTCACTGGAGATTGATAGCACTTTACTATTTATTCATGTTTACCCTGTTACATGGAGAATAAAAATTAAAAATAAATCAATGTATTATAGTAATTAATAATGGCCATAAGTTCTACTTAGAGTTCAATATTCACATATAGCTATAAGTATATTTTATGTAGACATTTTAATGTCTGAATGTGACAGTATTAAATCTTGCCTTTTCTATTCTTAACAAAAATATTCTGATTTCTGCATTTGTTGAGTTGGAGCAGTTGTATCTATAGGCTTAAAAAGAAAAAAATTGCTAAGGAAGATGATTTTAATCAAACTGTACATATTTGCAAGAGCTTCAAGCTCTCTGGAAATATAAAATTAAATGTTTAAGCAGAAGAAGCCTCTTTAGTATTGGCATTCCTTCACATCACTCAAGTAGGGTGTGGAAGGATCATCCTGGAGTTGCAATTTCATATAAAAGTAGAGAACAGGCTCATGTGAATATTTTATGGTTTATTGTATGGATGATATTCTGAAATTTTAATGCTGCAGAAGAAATGGGTAGCCCTGGAATCCTTGTGTCAATGAGTTATAGAGGAGGCTGGTGATCCAATTAGTATAATGGGCATCTGGCAGCCAAATGATGCACTTCAGAACCTGGCTGTGAATGACTGGCCCTCATCCACTTTTACAATATAAAGGAGAGAAAACAGAATGTGGAGTCATCCTGCTCTTTCTGTGATGCATTAGATCTGACTGAGTCTCAAATACCAGGCTTTTTCCCATTACAGCGGCTCTCATCTATCTCTTCCCTCTGTAAGTTCTTCATTTCCCATGCTTCTCCTCCTTCTTTTTTCCATCACACATTTACTATTGCACTCATTTTCTGATTCATGGTGATCTTATTGACTATTCCCCTCCTTTTTAAATTCTCACTCAGAGGTATATTTACTTGAGAGAGAGAGAGAGAGAGAGAGAGAGAGATATCAGTGTGAGACGGAAACTTTGATTGTTGCTTTCCGTATACACCCCGACTTAGGATCGAGTCTGCAATATGTTTTGGTGTACAGGATAATGCTCCAAACAACTGAGCCACCCAGCCAGGGCCCTCTATTTTTAATTCACAGAAACCAACCATTATCTTGAGGATATTTCTATGATGCAGCAGTTACTTCGGTAATTTTTAATGATTTTTAAGTCCACAGAGTTAAAGTAGTGGTTTTGAAAAATTGATATCAACCTATGCACCCCAATGTTCATAGCAGTACAATTTACAATAGCCAAGTGCTGGAAGCAACCTAGGTGCCCATCAGTAAATGAATGGATCGAAAAACTGCAGTACATTTACACAATGGAATACTATGCAGCAGAAAGAAAGAGGGAGCTCCTGCCCTTCACAACAGCATGGGTGGATCTGGAGAGCATTATGTAAGTGAAATAAGCCAAGTGGTGAAAGACAAATACCATATGATCTCACCTATAAGTGAGAACCTAATCAACAAAACAAACAAGCAAACAAAACATAACCAGGGACATTAAAATAAAGAACAAACTGACAGTGATCAGAGGGGAGGGGGGAAGCAATAACAGGGAATGAAGGGGAAGGGTCATCAAGGAACATGTATAAAGGACCCATGGACAAAGCCAAAGGGGGTAGAATTAAGGGTGGGAGGTGGGGGTGGGGGTAGCAGGGAAAAGTGGTGGCAGGAAAATGGAGACGACTTGAACAACAATTAAAAAATGCAAAAAAAATGGTATCTATTAACATTAATAGTGGAAAGTCAGGAGTCATATTTTAATCTTGTGATCCTCTTCCAAAAGGCAATTAAGATAGTATTATTGAATTTCCCTTTTGCAGAGTCTTCCTTTGGAACTAGAATTATAATTTTTTAAGTAACCATAGAACCTTATTTGAAGATTCTGTTTCTGTGCATTAACAAGTCCAGTATGTTGAGTTACAGTCTGTGAAGAGCCTTTTGCACTCCTACATGTCTCGCTGAATGTGCTGAAATCCCAAAGCTTTGACTATTCCTTTACTTAGGACCCTTCTCAGGATAGTTCATGCCACTGGAAATCCTGAGAAGGTAATGCATTGCAGTTCCTGCACTGTACCTGGTCTCTTTCCAGATAGCTTGCTTACTGCTTATTATAAAAGCAGTGGATTCCCTAAGCTCAGGTTCCTCCCCTGTGACTCATCCTACTGCATATGTAGGCTCCCCTAGGCCCTCCATATTGCCCTGTGGGACTTGGGGACTGGTGCAACCATGCTGATACTTCTGTTACTGCTTTTGCTGCAACTCCTAAGTCTTGGGCTGAAGAGTTTCATGTTTTCTGCCATAAAAACACCCATGGAAATGCGGCAGACATGCTTATCACCTTGTATAGTTATTTTGGTGGGAATTATCCTGCTTCTAACTCTCCTTTACACTGTCAAACTTCTTGAAGCAGGGTAAAATCCCACTACTTTACTTATAAAATACCTTCCTTTTGAACAACTTAAGTATATTCCATATTTTTTCTAAGACATTATTATGCAGTATGTAGTAGGTACAGGTTTGTTCTCATTTTATAAATAAAGAATTGGAAGTGGAAGTTAAGTGATTTTTCTCAAGATCATTTAATTAATTCATAGCATATCAAGTGCTGGAATTCAGGCCTTCCCACTGATAACACAGGGGTGGGAATGTCTTTAATATGTAATACTGTCTTCTTTTTCCCTAACATTCTCCCTAATGACACCTGCCTAATTTGGGATATAGACATTATAACTGCTATTCTTCTAGAAGGAAAGAATTCTGGGTAGTATAATTATTAACTTCAAATCTAAAATTACCCAGGCTTCCTAACATTTCACAGAACATGTCTTGTTCCACTCTTCACAAAAATTACTCCCATGGGAAAAATAAAATAAATAATGTTTGTTCTTAGCCTCAAATACAGTGCTAGTCAGTGGGGTTCTTATCAAAATAATCTGGAGATCCTTTTAAGAATACAGATTCCTGGCTTTGGCCAGGTAGCTTAGTTGGTTAGAGCATCATCCTGATGCACTAAAATTGTGGGTTCTATCCCTGGTTAGGGCACATACAGGAATAAAGCAATGAATGCATAAATAAGTGGGACAATAAACCAATGTTCTTTTTTCCTCTCTCTCTCTTCCTCTCTCTCAAATCATTTTTTAAAAAAAGAATACAGATTCCTGGGCTCCACCCCAGATCTACCAAATGAGAATTTCCAGAGTATACAGGAATCTTGATCTTTCATGAAATGCCCCAGGTGATTTTTTTTTAATGTTCACTACTACCAGAGACAAGTTGTTTCTATAAACTTGGGGTGGGCAAACTACTGTCCTCTGGCTCAATACCTACAAATAGGGGAAAGAAGTGGCTTTACAAACTGTTCCTGAATATAATACAGCAGGTCCTCAGTGCTGTTTTGTTCAATGTCATTTGGTACAACGTTGATGAGATGCCATAGGAACTTGACTCCTGTTTATATCAGTTGGTCTATGGTAAAGTGGTTTTCATTTTTCTGCAGTTCCAAGAACCTGTTGATGACATTAGTGAGGACTTGTACTTTTAAAAAGTCTTGCGCCCTGGCTGGCGTAGCTCAGTGGATGGAGCGCGGGCTGGGAACCAAAGTGTCCCAGGTTCGATTCCCAGCCAGGGTACATTCCTGGGTTGCAGGCCATAACCCCCAGCAACCGCACATTGATGTTTCTCTCTCTCTCTATCTCCCTCCCTTCCCTATCTAAAAAATAAATAAATAAAATATATATATAAAAAAAGAAAGAGCTCTTTATATATTAAAAAAAAAAAAAGTCTTGCTAAAAGGGATACAAATCAACACCAGATCTGTCTCCCAGAAAGCCAAAATTCTTGCCTTACATCACAAATTCAACAGTTGTGTTTTAAAAATGCCTTTATTTTGTGAAATACCAGGACTTATCTAAGGAACTCATTTGTACAGAGATCTTCTGTTCTGCGATTGTGCAGCTCCTCCCTCTGCCTATTTGTAAATCCACTCAATGTATATTCATTGAGAGCCTAGTTTCTGAGCCAAGCGCCATTGTAGGCACCAATGCTGTAACAGTGGGCAAGTTGTCTGCAGTCTGTGCTTTCAAAGTCTGCACCAGAAGAAGATAATTGCTTCTTAACAACAAGTAAAATTCCTTACAGATGAAGATGGCAAGATTTTGTTTGCCACCAATGACTTCAGAATTGCAGAAGAAATGTTTTTAATATTCTTTCTCCCCAGGTTGGAAGCTGAAAGTATGCTTCTAAGGCAAGGACATGTACCACTTGAATGCTACCTGATTCTTGCTGGACATTTAAAGGTCATGTCAAGCAGTACAAACATGAACAAAAATACCAACTCTGAAATTTTAAGTGAGTTTGAAGAAGGTGATTTCATAGGGGTAAATATTATCTTAATTTTTCAGTCTCTTATAATTTTTATTTATTTTTAAATATTTTTATTGTTTTTCTCATTTTTATTTTTAAAAACTTTAAAATTATGTGTTATTATATCAAAACAACATAGTATGCTGTAACACTGCCCTCAAGTGTTAAATATTCCAGTAATTGAAATGTTTAGAAGAATATATATTTTCCTTAGCAGTGTGGAGCTAACATATAGCCTGAGATGTAGTTTGTGAACACACAGAACCCACAAGGTTCCTAAGTGATTGTTATATGAATGATTGACCAGTTAAATGAATGAGTTACAAATCATGTAGCTTTGGAGGCAGGGTGGTATATTTTTTAAGTGTACTAAAATAGTTACTGATTCAAGGACATACTTTTGATTTTTTAAAGAGAGTCTATTCTTCTTGCAGAAGATTTTATGCAGAAGGGGTAAGATTTAGAGCAAGAAAGCAGCTTGTGTGTAGGAATAGAACTTGCTTCATTTCTATATTTAGTTGAGGGCAGCCTGGATTTGGAGATCCTCAGACCCTGAAGTCCCTAAGTGTAGAGGTCTTAGGAGGTGAGAACAGTTGCTGGTGTCTATTTTGGAAATGTCACCTGAGGTAAGGTATGGTAATGAAAGCAATGCGAAAGAGTGTGGTCTTAATTCTACAGGTAGTACATACATATTATTGAGGGTTTTTAGGTAGAAGGGAGATGAATCAGATTAACATTGAGGTAGATGACTCGTGTGATCACCAGGAAAACATGGAGTTGGAGACCAGGTAGGTTGGTGAGAAGATTCTAGGCCAAAGGCACTGGTGGTGAGGATACCAAATAGGAGATGGATTTAAGATATTTTACTGGTAACAAACCCAATGAGAAGGGCAAAGGAGAAAAATGTATTGCTAACAATTTTTGATCAAAATCAAACCTTATTTTTTTCAGGGCATACCCATTGTTAATTATGTACCATTATTGGTGGGTCAAAAATTTCTTGATAGATTGAGCATTAGTTAAGGTGTTGGCCAGCCTGTGACTGGCTGAATGTTCTAGTGTTGGAGGCATTTTGAAAGCACTCTTGGAATCTAATGACCCTCTGTGGACACCAAGATCTCTAGGATCAGCGACTTAGTGTTAGAAGGAGCTTCAGAGTCTGCTCAACAAACCCTTTCACATTACACCTTAGTGAATGGAGACCCAGGGCAGTTAACTGAATTGCGCATCTTGACAGAGCTAGTTAGTGGCAGAAATGGGAATAGAATTTGTATTTAGTGTTCTGTTCACTCTTCTGTGCTGCCTCAACTGTGTGCAGATCAAATAGAGCCATTGATTTTCAACTAAAGGGAAGAAACTTGGAGATCATCTGAACTGGTATTTCTCAGCCAAAATCCATGCAGGGTTCTCTAGGGAAACAGAACCAATATGATATGTACAGATATATGTAACAGGAGATTTATTGTAGGAATCGGCTCATGCTATTATGGAGACAAAGAGTTCCGCAATCTGCCGTCTGCAAGCTGGGGAACCAAGAAAGCCACTGGTGTAATTCAGTCCAAGTCCAAAGGCCTGAGAATCAGGGGGATAGATGGTGTAAATTCCAGTCAGAGCCCAAAGGCCCGAGAATCGAGGGGCTGATAGTATAATGCCTGGTCCAGAGCTGAGGGCCTGAGAACCAGGGGTGCTGATATCCAAGGTCTGGGTCAGACAGATGTCCCAGCTCAAGCAGGGAGAGATTCAAGTTATGTCACTCTCCTTTCAATGAGATTATCTCACCTTGATTCTGTATTGGTACATCTTTTTCCATATTATAATCATAAAAAAGTGTTACAGTTTTGCATATGATCACCTTCCCCATTGAGCATCTCCACTCCATTTGTCATCTTTAGGACAAAGCACCCTTTGTTTTTAGTAATGAACTATTGAGTGGAGTTTTAGGATGAAGCGTTATGTGTGTTTGCAGATCATGAAGTTGTTTTAACACATCAAGTGTTCCGGAATAGACTCATTCAACCTAGTGTTCTGTTTTTAGAAAATGGTCCATACATGTTAATGCTGTTGGGACTGACAGATTATTGAAAGTAAGACCAAGCCAATCCTTTCTTATCAATTCTATAAGCCCAAGATTTATTTTTTAAAAATTATTTGCTTAAAAAAGCACATACTTATAATTTCATACAGTCCCAGAATTTCATTGTAATAATAGTGTCAGAGCTGAAATAATTCCAGAAAAAATCCAATTTTTTTTTCCAGGAAATCTGCCTTTTAACTAACACCAATCGGCCTGCTTCCATTTTATGTAAAACAGATGTAAAACTTCTCGTAATAAGTAAAGATGTAAGTATATGATGATATTCATTAAAGTGACTAATGTTTTAAGGAAACCTTTTCTGGGAGCCCAGATAAATTTCAAAGCCAAAAATACTTACAATGGTAATCACTACTGAGGAAAATAAGTGTCTATATTTAAATAAATTTATATCATAATGCTTTACGCTGATAGATCAGTTGCCTTAATTAGGTAACAAATCATCACAGATGTAGGGGAGGCAAACATTTACCTCTACCCTCCTAGGGTGTGTTGACTATTTTTGGGAATTAAACTGACACAAAATAGATTAACAGGAGAAATGCATGCAAATCTAGGTAAGTTTTATGTGACTCGGGAGACCTCATAAGGAAATGAAGACTCAGAGAAGTTGCAAATCCTATCAATAAATACTATAATACATTGAACAAAGAGAGGTCATTGTGGAAAAATAACTAAAATGTATGAGGAGGCTAAAGGAAAATGAGAATTATTTTAACAAGTTCTGATTTTTAGAATTCTCTCGGCTTTGACTCTTCATTGAAGAATGTTTCTTTTCTGGTGAAAACTCCATCTTTCACATGGGAGTTTTTCATCTGTTTTCGGGAAAAAAAAAGAGAGATTAGAATGTTCATCTTGCATGTACTGTTTTTAGGTGCCTTTAGCTCAAAATAATCTGTATGCGAAAGTGGCATATTTGGGCGTTGTATATTCTGCCATTCTTCACAGACTGTAGGATCTTCTTTTCGAGGATTAAGTTAGATAACTCACTTAACACTATTAGGTCAGCGCCTGACAGAACAGCACTCAGTAAATGGCAGTTGTTACTTTTGTTGCTATTAATTATAATAAAAATAATGACATGCTGTTGATGACAGATGCATGCCCTTTAAATAAACTTTTGAAAAAAATTGTCAGTATCATTGCTGTGTTCTTTAGGAAAACGGTTGTTTGGTCCATTGCTGAGTTTATAATTTGAAGTAAAGATGCCTCTCAGGTGGGATGTGCTGGGGAGCTGCTGGAGTCCTCAGTGAGGAGGCAGACGCTCTGTGTGGTTCTGCTGTTCGGTGGCGCATTTTGTCACACAAGCCTGTCTCAAGTGGAAAGCAAAATTTTTCATTATTTTTGCGGGGAGTGACTTACAAGTGTTTAATAACAGTTCTTATAGCAGGCTCTGGGGTGTACTATAATTCCCTTTTTATTTTAAAAATATTTCTTAGATAAATTTCATGAGATACATAGCCTTATTTTCAGGGTGATAGTGATATAACAGCAGCTGCTCTATTATTATTTTTCTTATTACTCCAGACAAATGGCTTTCAGAAGCTATTTAGGCTGTGTGTTCCTATTCTGCCTTATAAATCTTGATGTGCCAGGTACTGGAACGATTGCTTAGTTGTCCCCTTGGGAAGCCTGAAGTGAAAACATTGATTAGGCCCTTTGGGCTGAGAGCCCAGTTCAGCTCTTTTGCTGGCAAAAAGAGCCTTCATTTTCTCATTAGGGAAACCAGTGGCAACAGAATCTTGCCCAGGAAGATTTATTATTATTGGCATGGCCATAGGACTGTCTACTGTCTCCTTACAAGCACTGTTGGGAAGCCATTCTGGAAGCAAAGGAATGTGCTGGAATCTGTTATTTGTCAAGAATTTTTTAAATGCATATCTTTGTCAATACTTCAATAAAGCTCATGAGAAGTTCTGTGTATTTGCTAAGATGAATAATTCTGTCAGTAGCTTCTTAAAGTCAGAGTAAAACATACTGCAATCTACTTTGAAAATGTAGTAGGAAATTTCTTGAACGTTTGAGTATTGACAACTACCAATTTAAAAGACACATGCTGTGTACTTTTTGGCTGAACCATTGTTGTAGGAACTTGATGGACTGCAATGATTATGGCCATAATAAGCACCATGTACTCAAATGTCCCATGAAAAAAGCATCAGAAATACAATGATATGCAGGATGTGGTTTTCTTTTTAAATATTATATTTGATTTATTATTTATGGGCTAAAAAAGAAAGGTGAGCTCCATTAACCTAGTGACCTTTATTTTTTCCCAAGCAGGATAATTGCATTCTAATGGAAATATAGAAACAGTAGGTATTGTAAATACAACTCCCTGAACAAGTGGGGCTGCTGGCTTTAGCCTCAGAAAGCATCCAGTGGGGTTCAGCATAAATTTATAAGCAACTCAAATTTTTTACCAAATAAAATAGGAAAATGCTGCCAATGCATTAGCACTGGGAAAATCCAATAATGTTCCTGGTGTTAATCTTATATTTTCTTTACACATATCATATTCTTTTAAAAGATATAGTATACCGTTTTATTTAAGACTGAAATCACAGCTGTACAGTAAGCGTGCGACTGTGATATATCTCACAGATCACAGTGACGTGCTCGTGTTGGTCAGTGCTGCATGCATCTGTGTGAAGATCGTGCACCAAGTCCTTTGCTGGCTACTTCTCACAGACTTTCTGTGTTTTTTGATGTGATCACAGCATCTGGCTCTTAAGATACTGAATTTTGAGACCTCCCTGGTATCCAGCTGGAGGAGGATGGAGTCTCAATTCTGCTTTTGAGTCGGTGCTGTTCTGGGGTCACAGAGACTCCTAAGGGAGGTTGTCAGTGGTTCTCAAGAGAAAGTTCACGCACCATTGATACACTCTGGCTGCTCTTCACCTCTCAGAGGAGAATGAGAAAGATAAGGGCTGTGTACCTTTCTCAACTGAATTTATTCACACTTTCAAAACATGATCCTCTATGTTTAGATTATGCTCTTTCTGTTTGTTTGTTTCTTTGTTTTGTAGTTATGCGTCATTTATTTCATGAAACGATGTTGAAAATCTCTGGTAGTTGTTTTAATGTTCGTACTTGGTGTGCACAAAGAGGTGGTGAGCTGTGTGTCATATTTTCAAAAAAATTCACTAGCCTGGGAAATCCTTCAATCTGGAAACTGGCGTACTTTGTCAAACTTTCTGTCTTTATGAGGGCTCAGATCTCTGTTTGGAAATGCTTCCTCTGGGTCATTTTGCTATTACTTGTTTTAGGTTGTCTATCAAAATAGCACTGCTTAGTCCTTAAGAGCCTGAGCTGTGAGCCTGAGCTGTGAGCCTGGCAACCAGAGTTCAAATGTCAGTGCTACCCCAGTGAGCACTGGGGCACTTTTGCACTTTTCAGAGCCTCAGTTTCTCGTCTGTGTATACAGCAACAGCAAGGTACCAGTTCATAGAAGTGCTGTGACCATTAAATGAGTTAATACACCTAAAATGCTTAGAGCAGGGGCTGGCACAGATGAACATATTGGCATATATGAATTTTGTAACTTTGTAATCATCTTTTCCTTCTTTGTTTTCATAGTAGGACAATTACAGCCAGGTTTGCCCATACCTAGCCCAAGATCGTCTGGGACACGATTAGGAGAAATTTCATGCCAGCCTTGCCTTTTCCCACTCTGTATTCTCTCTTCCCTCTGACTCTCTCCACTGTTTGTTTCTACCATTGATTATGTGCTTAAATTAAAATCCCACCCATATTTGGGATTGGGGTTAGATATATAATATAACTGGTTAAATTTAAAAGTTCAATTTCTGACACCAAGCCTCATGTTCCACTTCAGAGTGATGTCACTGTACTCTGACATCAGAGCTGCTTTGATTACACAACTCACTTGGCCAGCCATAGCCTCCCGGGGTATTAGAGCAAGAAAGGGAATGTGGTGGCTGCGACCAGGAGGCACCAGGGGCCCCCAGGGAAAAAGGCCACTGGTAGACCTAATGGGAGAAGATTAGAGGTACTGACACAGCTGTAACTCTGTTATCAAACCTAACCATTTACTGAATACCTTTTTTTAAATTTTTTTGTGTATTTTACTTGCAATATCTTGTTTAATTCTCACAGCAACTCCATTAGCTACTATCCTTATTCCTCTTTCACAGGTCGACAGACTGGAGAAAGCTAACAGGTCTTAAACAAGTTGTCCAAGGGCCCAAGGCTAGTAAGCAGCAGAACTCACACTCAGAGTACCTGACTCTAAAACTACCACTCTTCGCCACTATGGTTCCCTGTCTAAGTTATTCCCAGGAAGTGATATGACGGATTTTCTGTGTAGTGGCCCATCCTATAATATGTCACCAGAACATATTCCCAGTTTTATGGCGTGTCTCACCTTCTTTGTCAGAGACCTGTGTACTTTGTCCTTACCATCTGGTTGAATCATTTACTTACATGGGTGTTTACTTACTATACTTCAAATTTTCCATAATAAAAGGCAGTGTTCGGTACTGAGAAGTAAGCACTTGGCATGCCTGTGTCACTGGAAGTTGGCAGCCAAGCTCCTGTCCTGAGAGGTAGGGGAAACCTGAGCAGTGGAAGTGTATCTCAGGACATCCTCAGGGTAGGAGGCCTCTGACAACTGCCCTGTATCTTGGAAAAGACTTCCATGCTGGTGTGTCTAGAGTGGGAGGAGGCTCTGCTCTAGCCAGGCCATAGGGGTCTCAGCATGTGTATGCAAAAAGAATACTGGGCAGAGACTGATGTGCGGCAGGAAACGTGAAGTCCTTGTTCTGTATGTGGACACGTGCCTTAGAGCTGGACCTAAACTTCAGTGGATGGCAATCACCTGTACTTGGTGTGGTTACCTAAGAAGACTGCAGTGGATGTAACAATTGCACAGTTTTCTCTTACTGGTTTTGTTTTGTTTTGTTCATTGTTTGGAAACTTGATACATCACAACCATTTCAAGTTTTATTGGAGCTGGAGTCCTAGAAAAGGGGGATCTAATCACTGAGAAATAAATGTTCTGAGAATACATTTTAAGCTTCTTCATGGCATGCTGCTGATTGTTCACCCAAGGTCCAGATTTTGCTAAATTTAGTTCCCAAAAAGTACTTAAGAAATTAAGTGATTTTTGGATGTGTTTTTCCCACTTATTCATGCATGCTTATAGTTTCCAGTCTTACTTTTATTTCAAAGCTGAGTAGGAACGACTCATTTAATATGAGTGCTCTGTTCCCTCGGATTTAAGTTG